GTATTAAATATTTACTATATAATTAAACGTTAAAGGCTAGCAGTAATTTTTCTGCATAACCACCTTTGGACGCAGAAAATTATGTAATTGGAATGCCAAAATGTGAATGCAATATATACGTATCTCTCTGACAACTACAAATACTAAATGGATATTTAAATATTTTTAAGAATGCACTGACAGCCCAGTATCTGCATTCCAACACAAACTGGTATCACCCAATACATCAAACAATCAACACAAGCACTGGATAGGAAAACTAAGAAAACAAACCACAGCATGAAAATATGAATTGTTTTGTAACATTGCAGAGTATTTTCGCATTTATGTACTAACATACATATTTATGTTATTTGCAGCTTACTGCGCCTTGGCTAACTGAAAATTGTTCAAATGATTTGCAACAACAGGAATGGCAAAGAGAAACCACAAAATGTAGCGATAAAATGGAACAGCAGGAGCAGCAATAACAATAGCTTGACTTTTTTCCTCGACTTAAAGCTATAGAATTTGTGTTTAAATGTTTACATGACTACATATTTACATTTGGGTGCTTCTGTGTATGGGAGTGTGTTTCAATGATTACAATGGAATCCAAACAAAAGGCACAATTGATTTATGCACATGTGTGTGTGTGCGTGTGTGTGTGTATGATCGAGCGTTTGTTGTGAGGTTGTGAGTGTGTGTGTGTGTGTGTGTGCTGTGGCAACATTTTACGCAAATTATTGATTACCAAAAACGTGAAGAACAAAAAAACAAAAAAGAACATGTTCATACACGGATTGCACCAAGTGGAGGCAAAGGCCGTTGCCAGACATTTGGCCATCTCTCGGGGGAGTAACGTGCACGGAAAAGTTTGTTAGTTAGCTTTTAGTTGGACTGAATCCGCCCTCAACTTTGCAACCTTAACGCATCATGGTCGTGTCTAACGACTCTGTGCTACTTTTTCGCCCCTGTTGCATTCTTTCTGTTTCTGTTTCAGTCAAGTTGACAACTTAACATTGTTGAAGTTGTTGCAAGTGGCATTTTTCGCGTATTTCGCTTTTCGTTTGCAACAAAATCTGCAACAAGCAATGCAGATGGGTGGGGGAAGATCGAGGGGCAGTAGAAAAGATGGACACGTGCCCAGCTAAAATAATAATTAAAATGCAACTAATTAATTGCTCTGCTGTCTTCTTGTTTTCTATTCTAAGAAAAACACGCGCGTACTTTTGTTTTATTAATCAGCGCAAAATGATATTCGCCAAAAAGAGGTAAATGAGAATTTTTTATGCGAGAGGTAAATGACCCAAAGGGTCGACCGCAACCACTACAGGAACGTTTTCTAACAGAAACATGTAGCAAATACACAAAGTTGTAATTAAAACCAAAACCAAGGGTCAGTTATAATTGCATTAGCAGATATGCTGCTATTCAGCAAGTGTCTAAAAATAATGTTTACAAGGGATAGAGGTGTCTGAAGGGTAGAACTGAGTGTGGATGGATGATATTTATATAATTAGAAGAAGATATTAATTTGCAAGATAATAAGGGGTAAGACATTTGGTTGGCAACCATATTCTTGATAGGATTGCATAAGAAGGTATGATTTCGAAAGCGGCTAAGTGTGGGTTAATAAAGTATTAATAAAGATATCCTTGATAAGGTGCTAGTCTTGAGCCCGTTTGCAATTCTTAAATATCTTCAATGTTCTTTCTTTTTTCATAGCCATAAATTGAATATAAATTTCGGATCCACCTACTTCTGCCAAAATGTGTGTGCAAAAATTTAAAATACGCAACGCCATGTTATCAGCTGTTTTAACACACTGGGCCCGCTCGTTTAATATTATTTGCATACTTTAATTATAATTGCGTGCTTGGCGCGCAAAGCTTTTATTTTCTGGTGCTCGCTCGCATTGTTTCACAATTTACTTTCCTGTTTCACGTTCGCTAGTGCTGTAAACGTGATTCTCCGAGCATTGTAAGCTTATCCTGCCATCCAGGACACCCTCTTTGGGGTGTTTGCTTAATCATATTTTAGTATAAATCCAACGCAGTACGCGTAATTATGTTTGTATTCGCTTAACTTTTAACCAGTTTATTTTTTCCGCACCATTTTTCCAGCGTTTCATCGCGTTTTATTGTCGCACTCGTAATTTTATTGATTTACATTCAACAGCCAGTCAGCCAGCCAGCGCTTACCTTTATCTAGCTATGGGTCCTTTGCCTGAGGCGTTGATTGGTGCAAGTTGCCCGACTCATTTATATTGCCTTTTATGTTTTGGTTATTATACATACGCATTTCGCCTTTTTTCGGATTCGTTCATTTGCTTCCGGTGCGGCACGGTGCTCTCCACATAATTATAATGCCACCTACGTCGGCATAAAAATTATCCTGACTGCCGTTGACAGGCGGTGGGGAAGCGAGAGGACGGCGGCCAATTAATCACAGCCGCAGCCTCCCGAGCCAGCCCATTATGAACGTCCTCTGAGCCATTTAATGGGCGAACTGAGCCTGCAGGCGGGCACACCAGAGCCGTCAAGATGGTCATCACTTCTCAATGTGACACACGAGTGCCAGTTTAATGTGTGTTTGATTTTCAAAGGCTCTTTTCTTATGCCTACCTTTATAAAACTTTAGCAAATGCTAAAAGGTGCGGGCGTAAATTCAAGAAATTTGTTTCATAACCTTGAGTTGAAATGATTCTTTTGTGATCGAAATATGGATGAACATTTCAAATCATTGGGAGCAATGCAGATACGAAATTTGAGGCGACTACAAATTTTATTTCCAATACAAATTTCTCAATACAAATATTTTCAATTGGTGATTGGCATGAAATAAGTACTAGTACTATTTTCTTAAGTGCCGATCAACTATGTCAAGTAATGTCCTCAAGCCGACCACAATCTAACCGTGTCAATTGCATTTAAGGTAGCCTGTCTCTCTGTGCCTTTGGACAGCTGCTGATTAATCTTTGCCTAGCTTAGCTTTTCTGTGGCCTTCTGCCTTTTTTTGCACTTCAATGCGCCCATCTATTTTGTACTAATTTCGTGTAATTGCAATTGAACACGTCAATCATCTTCCCTTCATTAACCCTAAAAACGGGCATTAATTACGGTCTGCAGCTCTGACACAAAAACTAATTTCGGGCCAAGCCAATGACCGTTTCGCACACATTTCGCAAACCTCAAAGCCGGCCATTAATTTATAAGCTTTCAAAAGAAGAGAACTACTAAACTCAACCACGTGTGCCACATATGGGCAGCTCCGTTTCATATTCCGCATATTCATGCATTTAATAAAAATTTATGTATTACCAACAAATTAAATTCAGGCCTTGCAGTGCTGCAGGGTTCCCCTTTCACGATTGGTATGCAAATGTTTTGCTGCGGCTTCACAGTTCAGTTCAGCTCGTTGAACCGCCAGTAGCCGCCAATCCACCTTGCATCCTTGTATCCTGCCTACCCGGCAGCGTGTGGTTGACCAACAAGCGCGCCGCCAATGAGAGAGTCAGTCAAGCCGCAAGAGCAGCTCAACAACAAATAACAGACAACTGGCAACCACCGACGATTTTGTGGCATTTTTATTGCTATACATTACACATCCCCATAAATATACACACACGTCCCCATAAGTGTACATACACATTGGTCGTTTTTTGGTATGATCCATTACTGAAGATGAAATCATTTAAAACAAATTGTGGCCTAAAGATAAAATACACCTTTCTGCTGGAAAAACATTTTTGGGATTTAACTTTGTAAGCGTAATTGTGAAATTCGTGAGAGAAAATTTATACACTTTATCAAAATGTGCAAATCAACTAATTGGATGATGCATTAAAGCGAAAAGTACTATTTATACTTGGAAAATATTTAATGAATTATTATTCCTAGAATTACAACAATGTCAACACAATTATGTAGCACTTGCACTGCAAATAGCTATCAAGGTCTTGCTAAAGCGGACGCATTATGGCCATCTATTGAACTGCCCCAATTGCTGGACATGTGGTCAACATTTAAACAAATGTTTTGCACTCACGACATCTGGAGGAGACAGCTTTTAAAGCGGTTACCACAGCCACAAGTTGCAGTTGTCAGCTTGCTGCAGCAACAGACACAACAAAAACCAAACATTGGTGCCGACGACGGCGATGATGTTGACATTAGATAAGCCAACTGGGGAATGATTAATTATGCACGGGTACCAACTAAGTGGAAAACTCGTGCACACGCTCACTTACTGGCTACTGGGTGAGAGAGCGCGGGAGAGGAACAAACATGCGAGATGTTTGTGCACTTGAAGTGCAGCATTGGGTTAAGGAAGAGGAGGATGATGGCGGGTGGAGGGCAAGGTAAACTAGTTTCAGGCAGCAATCGGTTATGGACACCCACCTTGGCTGATGGACGTAGTGGAGCGACGCTGTGGGCAGCAGTTGGTGTTACTCTCTTAATTGCACATTAGTTAATAATTTCACTTTCGATTAATTTCACAGGAAAAACAACAATGGCTTTGCATCGATTTTCACGGAACACTTCTCTCCGAGCTTCATATTTTGTGACATTTTTTTAAACAAAGCTTCAACGCTTAACCAATAACAAGTTTTCGGGTTTTAAATTTTGTTGTTGCGATAAGCGTTTATATGCATAATAATTAAAGGAAACTGACGCGAGAAACGCGAAAAGTGGTTTTCATCATTCGAGTAAGCGGCACAAAGCCGCACAATTACGCCTAAAATGGTGGCTAACACGCACGCACCCACACATTTACACACACACACACGCAGAGAGAGACAACCGCGAACCGTCACAGACACACACACGTTCACACGCACATACACAAATAAACAGTGCGTAAAAATAAACAACAAGTGTGTGTGCGTTTCCTATTTCCTATTTTTTTTTTTTGCTCCCCAAAGCCAAAAAACTTTCAGACTGGCCCAAACTATTATCATACGACCACACGGTAGTTGGCTAAGTAGCTGGCGTTTAAAGAAATTCGTTATTCGTTACCTGTGCGCGATCTGTGCGCTGTGCGCGTTGTCCGACTTGCAACTGAACTCCGCATTGCTGGTCGAGCACTCCAATTCCAATTCACCAACTTGAATAGCATTGGTGAGTGTTGTTGAACTGCTGTCGTCGTTGCTAGCAACATTTGGTGGTGTTGATGCCGTTGGTGCTGCTATGATTTGTTGCCCCTCCGCACATGTTGCAGCAACATTGCCGGTTGTTGGCGTTGACGCAGACGTTGGTGTTGTGGTTGTGGCGCTTTCCGGTTTTGTTTTGGTCGCTCTTTCGCTGTTTGTTTTGACTGTTGCTTCGTCACGTTCGGCCTGGAAACATGTATCGCTAGTTGCAGCAACTTTGTTGCCAGCTGTCGAGCTTCCCGTTGCAAAATCTTTCTTGGTTTTACTTTTTTTCAACTGTTTGGTATGCGACATCTCATCGTTCTTGCCATTTCGTGGCAACTTGCTGGAGTTGCCGGACGTTTTGTCGCATGGTACATCCGCCTCGATTGTGGGCGTGGCATCGGCAACATCAGTTTCCTCTTTCTGTTGTTGTTTGTGCTCCGCTACTGTGGCCTTGGGTTGCCCGTTAGCCTTGGTCATTGTCGTGGTATTGTTGGGGGCCAACGTGGCTGCTGCTGTTGTTGTTGTTGTAGTTGGTGTTGTTGCGCTTGCCACTGCTGGTGTATTTGTTGTTAGGGGTGGCTGTGACAGCTTCTGTGCATTGTGTCCATCCTGCAAATAAAAATAATTGTTAAATTGAATCCCATTTCTTATTTGTAAGTTGCTTTTGTTGCTGCCGTAAATTCATTAATATGTTTCATTTGCTTTCCATGAGCTTTTTTCAATACACACACGTAGAAGCTTTACAAATGGCTTTCTCTCACTCTCGCCATGCTGCTCTCTCGCTCTGCGGGCCATTTATTTGAAAGATAAATCGCTGTATTGTGGAGCTTTTTTGTGTTTCTGTGTAACATGGTCAATGCTTTAACAGCATTTCAATGGGATATAAATTGTATTTTTATCAATTAATTTTCTGTCACATTTCGGTGCTCAATTTCCAGTTTCTACTATTTTCTCCACTAATCTGCAGCCTATTACTGGATTTTTAAATGCGGTCGAAATGTGTGTTTGGGAAGACCCAGCAGCTTCCTGTTCTATCTTCTTAACCGAATGCGTTTTATCAATACAAACGATGCGAGCCACAAGCAAGCAACTCGATTATGTGTGGCCCCCGTCTGCTTGCGGATGTGCGCCACTACGAATTTCAGAAGCTGAACATTTATGACACAGCCGGATATAAGTTGGACACATTCTGTCGGGTGTTATGATAAGACCGAGCAGAATGCTCGACTTGGCTTTTGTCTGGCGTCGTGGCAGTGCTTCAATGACCACATGTAGTAGCATCGGCTTAGTCCGACAAGTGTGGGCGCCCTCCCAATTTGAATGCATTTGCCAAAACAATAAGTTCCATTAAAGCTGTTACATGATGGTATAAAAGGCTCTTGGATGTTGGCCCAAAGATAACTCAAATTTCTTGCATGCGCTTCACTGACTTTTGCAACTTTCAAGCCGACACCAATTCCCATTCCCTTGTGGGATGCTCTCTTGTCGGTCCGTCCTTCCGTTCGTCTTTTGTGATACAAGTCAAATGCGTTGCCAGCAAGTTGGGTAACAAATTTGCAAATTTTAAGACCGCAGACATTTTCAGGCAGAGTTGTAAGCCGACTGCCAAGGCAAATAGAAAACTAGATGCACAGTGGTTTAAGAATAATTTTTCTCCAACTCTACATTTCACTAAGTAAATTAAAACAAGTGGAAAACCTAAAGGCGTGTGCACCGACTTTCAAATAATTTGTACCTCTATGAGTTGCATTTGCATTTTAAATAAATTTACAAAATTGAAAAAAGATCACAATAAACGAAATTATAATAAAACAAATTTGTTTTAATCGATTTTTCGTCGGGATTCGAACTTACGTGAAGGGTGTATGTCTGAACATTTACATAGGAATTGTATGCATGTGTATGGTGTACCTTTTAGGCAGAGTTTACAAACCTATTAAAACATTACGTTTTTTTTAATGAGATTAGGTTTAAATTTACCAGCACACATACACCTTGACAGGAAATATAGCCATAACGCTCTCTAATATAAGTACTTTAAATCGGGACAGTCGAGTGGTATTGCAATAAATTGAGTCTGGAAACCATGGTGATATTGTGGAAAAGAATAAATTCGAGAGAGCAACATAAAAGTGCGCAATTCCATTGGGCCGCTCTTGAAAGTTGTTCAAAGGTGGGAGGCTGGTGTTGAAAACTTTTGAGCGTCGAGTGCAACTCAAACTAATTAAAATTTTATGCTTACCTTGCGTTGTTGCAGCTGACGTTGATGCGCGTCGCTTGCCTTGACACCCTCGGCTCCCGACATTGTGGCTGCAGAACCCACAATTCCGCCGGCGGAGTCCTCGCTGCGTGCATCGTAAAAGACATCGTCGTCCTCCGCATCCGTTGCCACAGTGGTTTTTGCTGTTGTTGCACTCTTGATGGCTACTCGTATGTCTGTGTGGCTGCTCACCACTTCTGTGGCTGTGGTGGTGACGGTATCATGTGTGCTCGTAGGGATGTCTGGCAGTGACTTAACAATCGTCGCATTCTGCTTGGTCTTGGCTAGATCTGCCGCGGTGGGTGTCTCGCAGGTTTCGCTCTCCAGTGAACGCGACTTGGTGTCGTCCTGCAGTCCCTCCATGTTGGCCTTAAGCTCCTGCAGATCGGAGTAAGTAGCTGGCGATGGGGGCGGCGGTGCTGGTATATCTTTACGACGTGTGCTGGGGACGGAGCCGCCCGATCCACCGCTGCCAGTCGCATGAGCTTTACTGCTGCCACTACGATGTTGGCGCTTGCTGGACGCGGATGTGTGTTCGCTAACGTTAAGGTGATGGGAGCGTCGATCTTGCGCGTCAGATTCCTTTTGCTTTGACTTAGTCTTTGGACTTTTGGGAAGCTGTGTTTGGGCATGGCTCTTGGGTATGGCGCCCGTGGTGGTTGCAACAAGGCGATCAAGTGAAGGATACTCTCGTCGCTCGCTTGGCTGAGGCTTGCGCTGACTGGGCTTTGGCATACTGCTGCTGGTGGTCACGCTGTCCTCCGTATTCTGCTGCAGGGTAGTGCGTGGTGCCGGTGTTGGTTTGACAGCAGAGGTGGCTGCCGGACGTCCCTTACTAAGTGGCAGCGTAGTAATAACTGGCGTGGATGTTGGCATTGGTTCTTGGGAGGCAGCTCGTTTAGGGCTGCCTTTGGATTGAATTGCTCGGTGAGTGCGTCGCGCCGACTCCAGGCTATTATTGCGCTGCATTTCAGATTGGTATATGCTGCGTTTTACGTCATTAACATGCTTGAAAAAATCCTGCGCGTACTTGTTCTGCTTAAGATCCATCTGGGTTTGCTGTTGCTGGCCTGCGGCTGGCTGCGACTCATAACCCTGTGGCTGAGTGCTCGAAGGCAGTGTCCCTGCTGCTGTTTTGCGTGGGATGCCACTACTACCTCCCCGAGCCAACGATCCGTACATGTCGTCAAAGTCGGAACTGAAGTAGCTGGAGGAGCAGTCGCAGTTTTGACATTCGTAGCGACAATTGTCCGAGTAGCTGCATTTCTCAGCAGCCGCTGGCGTCGGTGCTGTGTTGGCCATTGAAGTGGTGCCTCCACCCATTACACCATCTAGACTGCAACGGCGGCAATCATAGCCGAACCGACAGCTTTCCGTGCTGCCGAAATACCGGCGTTGTCCTGCATTTGAGTACGAGGAGAACAAAGAATCGCCCAGACTGGAATCGCTCACCTGTCCTCCGTACCGACCACCTCCACCACCAATACCATGACGATGCTGATAGCGAGCGTAGCGCTGTGAGTTGTCGCTGCTTCGTAATGAATACTCACTCAGGATCGAGGCCTTGGAATCGCTCTTGTACATTTGGGGCGGCTCGTATGGATCGACGAGTATTTGGGAGCCGCCGATGGGCCGACTGGCCGCGTACATTAGCGGATGCAAAGGAGCACCGGCATGGCCGATGGCATAGTAGAGGTCGCCAGTGCCTGGAGCGGTGAATACGCTCGCCTCCAGTCGTGCCATGGTGTTGTATTTGTGGTACTGCAACGAGTCGCTGGACGATGAGGACTTGGTGTTCATACGCTGCATAGGAGCTCCGCCTGCACCGTTCTGATAGTTGACAAAGTATTGCTGTTGTTGCTGTTGTTGCTGTGACGATGCTGTTGGCGCTGACTGCTGCGGTTGGGCATTCCGGTGGCGGGATATGCCGCCCACTTGTGTTAGTAACAGGCCGCCACCCACGGCATAATGATTTGTCAACGGGTAGGCCTTCGGCGGAGTCTGGTAGTAACCGCTATAGATTTGTTGCTGATGTTGTTGATGCTTTTCACTGGGCGTGGTCGTGTTCGCATTCGAGGTGGATGCGGCATTGTTGGCCGAGCTCTGTTGGAACTGCAATATGGGATTATATTCTCCCGTAATGGCCACGGGCGTAGTTTCGATTTTATACACGCCCGGATTGTTGGGATTGTAGGATTGAAACTCAAGTATGTGCGCAGCGGGCAGCATGGAGGAGCTTGTCGCCAATGCGGCCTGTTGCTCGCCACTGCTGTTGTTGTTGTCAACCAGTTGAGTCTGATTAATGAAATGTTGCTGTTGCTGCTGCTGTTGTTGTTGTCGCTGTGGCAGTTGTGGCGGGTGTTTGGCGTGTGCCTCGTTCTGCGTTAGACAATACTCGCAATTATCCTTGCTACATTGTTGCATGCACAGCTCGCAGTCCGCATAGACAGCGCCTCCTTCACTGCACTGGGAGCTCGGAGTGCCCACTAATTGATGTTGTTGCTGCTGGTCTTGTTGTTGTTGTTGTTGCTGTTGCTGCTTCTGCGGTTGGTGTTGTTTGTGCTGGACGTTTTGATTTTCCTCATCGGAGTGCACAACTATCGGCGCTGCTGATGCGGCGTCCGTCGCTGATCCTGGCGTATCCTTGAAAAAAATCTCTTCGTAAATATTCTCCTCGCTGCGTGTGTGCAATTTTTTGCTACCGCTGCGCTGCTTCTCAACGAATTTCTTAGAGCTCTTTAAGCCCTCCTTCAGCAGATAGTAATTGAAGCTTTTGATGCCGATTTCACCGCGCAGGAACCGACGACCAATGGGCATCTTTGCACCACCTCCACTACTGACCTCACTGCCCAAGACAGACATTGTAGCGACCGAGTCCTGGGCCGAGCTGCGCACCGAATACTTGTCATCATGCTCCTGGTCCAGTTGCCAGCGCTCCATGGCTTCGCTGCCCTCGCTGTATTGCTTTCGGTTGCGTTCCTTGCGACCACACGTCTCGTATTCGTTCATTTGCTTAGATGTCAGCAGCTGTTGCTGCTTATTGTTGTCCAGACTCAGGTTGCGTTTCTGCTTTGAACTGCGTTTCTGCGACGTTGTCTTTTTCTCGCTTTTCTCTGTTGCTGCCGCCATGGTGCGCTCTAAGCTGCGGCCACGACGCGTCATACTGCCCCCCTTGCTTAGCTCCAGTGGCTCATTGTCCGAGCTGCTGGAATCGAAGTCGTAGGCCAAACTGCCCCCCGCTTGACCGCTGCTGGCACTCTTCAACTTATTCTGCTTGCTGGCCGCATACTGCAGGAACTCTCTGGTCAATTTGCTTCGTTTTCCCAGTGAACTGCTGCCCGTTTGAAGCGGGGCATCTGCTCGTCCTAGGCCCCCCTTATGTTCTGCAGTTGTCGGTTTTCCAGAGCAACTGCTGCGACGCAACGGATTGGCCAGATGGCTGATGTCGTCTGTGTAGGCCGGATCATCATAGATGCGCTCGCGCACGGAGGTGGATGAACGGTCTTTTGACTGTGGCCGGACATGCAAGTAGAGAGCAGGAAAGGAAGAATCGAAAGCAGAGTTTAGACAAAGTACATGTTATGAGGGTAAGAAAATGCACATATTAAGGCTTTGACAATTGTAATAAGGCCGGAAAGTGACCACAACCTGAATTCAGTCCTCTCTCGGTATTCGAATTCACGTAAAGGGTTTATAATTGCACATTTACTTAGAAATTGCGTCTGTGTGAGTGGATGTATGCCTATGCGCATTTATTCGTGTCTGTGTAAGCATTTTCGCAGTCAACCAAACAGCAACATCAACAACAGCCGCGGGCAGCGCTTGAGCAGCGCTGCAGCAGCAAATATATTTATGGCTATAACTTCTTATTAAATCTGGGGGTATTTGCAAAAAATTAGTTCGAAATTCCAAGAATTACGGGAATTAGAGAAAATCGCATTTGCGGTGAAGAGGGGGGAGGGAGGGAAATTCCAAAATATACATTTTCTGCGTATTCACACAAGGCACCTTGGACTAAAATTTGGTGTTCTTAGGTCTTATGGTCTTCGAGATATAGGCGATTATACGAATGGAAAATCGGGAAAACCCCCATAGGGGGGAAGTGGGGGGGAAAATCAAAAAAATAAAACAAACTCGTACAGAATACACACATAACGCATCTTCGTGCAAAATTTGGTGTCTCTATCTCTTATAGTCTCTGAGATCCAGGTGTTCATACGGACGGACAGACAGACAGACAGGGCTAGATCGACTCGTCTTGTCACGCTGATCAAGAATATATATACTTTGTGGGGTCTGCCACGCCTCCTTCTGCCTGTTACATTTTTCAGCTCCCGCAAACCTAATATACTCTTGTACATTTCATGTACAGAGTATAAAAAGTAAGACTACACGATTAAAAGGTAGGATTAAAATGGGATGTTTTATAAATTAGCAGTGAAGAAGTCTAATCGTTACAATACAACAATAAATACCTTCCTACTAGTAACTAATAAGGTGAAAACATAGGGGTAGGTCATGCACACACAAAATAAATACAATTTGAAACATTATATTGAGCCGCGTTAAGTACGCGTACCTGCTAGTAGTTTTATATAAAAGAAACAATATTATTTTGGTGTCGATTTCCACTATGTAATGAAAACCGGCATAGCAGTGATCTCTTCTAACTTTAATCAAGACCATAATAAAACAAATTATCTTTGCTTATGTTATTTATCGTGTGGTCATAAGCACACAACCTTTTTAATTGTTTCGGTTTTGCTTGCATTGTTCGTCTTAGTTTACGTGCGATGCGTGTTTTTCTTTTTTGCGGTCGCTTCTCGTGAGACAGCCGTATGAAAAGATCACTGTTGTATTCTCTTTCCGGTAGGATACACGACATGAATGATTGAATTTCAAAGGAAATCTTCTTAAAACTGTTTTCTAAAAGGTCGATGCATACAAGCTCCTAAGGCTTTAATGCCGGAAGCTGTATCAGTATGTACCTATGTGTAGTTAGCATTATTGCTAGCTTTACTGATATTGTGTGCTATCAATCATAGGTAATCCTCATGACAGGCTCTTCTATTTATAACACAACAGCGTTCACTCACAGTCTTAAGCCACGTGACTTAACCACAGTCTTGTCAGGAGCTTAGCACGGCTTTGAATAGCTTTAAAGCAATTACAAGCTACTAAACTCGCACGTACGAACATACAGGGTGCGCCATCTTTTATGTCGGTATGTAAATATTGAATATCTTTGAAAATAAACAACCGATTTTCAAGTATGAGATATTTTTATTTAATTTGGTTCTGTACAATTTCTTGAACTGAGGTTTTCAACAATGGTCTACTCAAGTCAATCGGTTCACTAATGACAAAGTTATTCAACATTTACATACCGACATAAAAGATGGCGCACCCTGTACATGCGTATACGAGTATGTACATATGTATATAGTATATAGAGATATGGAGCATCTCCATAGTCGCGCGTTGCTGCTGTCGTATTTGCATTATCCCGCTACTAGTAGCTAAGTGTGTAAAAACAGGCACATCAAATATGATAAAGAAAGGCACCGACAGGATGTCGGGCTACGTGGCTGCCTGTCTGGCTTCCTGCCACATAATGCGCCATCGTGTGCCGCGCACGTTAATTAAAAATTCTACAAGGTAATTGAAGCATAATGTCAGTGCCAACAAGAAAACTGGCTCGAATGACATTCATTTTTCAACTTCGGCAGCTACACCAGCGTCGAGGGCCGCTTTGACGTTGCGTGGAGCGGAAACAGGCAAATCGTTTGCTTTCTGCCAAAAAAGCACTAGCAATGGGGCCCCTCCCGAAACTGGGTTGGGCCGTACAGGTAACACCAGAGCACCATCAGCCCATGCATGACTACAAACAACAGACAACCACCACATCACTCTGCACTACGCTGGAAACGCCTAGGACAGGCTGCAGACGTTCCCTGCAGCGAGACACAAAGCGCCGACAAAAATGCTTGAACGTATATTTGCGCTGTAGGTAAAAAAAAGAATAACAACTACAACAAACAGGACAACAGTATAAAATGCTGGCTGGCTGGATGGGTTTGACTGGGTGGAGTATGCTGCTATTTTTGACCTTTAAATGGCTTTAAAATTGTGGAATTTTAATTCTTGTTTTATGGTTTGCCACTGTTTACGATGCCTGTTTGTTCTAGAAACGCTTCCAGGCACATTTGTATACAAGGACTAGCGATGATAGATCACACTCCGTAGAGGCCATACTAATTGTATGCATTGACGCCGTTTACGTGATTGAGAGATTAGAGTTTGACTAACCTTGACTTTGGTTTTCTTCCGGCTCCGATGTGGAATAGAAACATCTGTTAACTTTAATAACTTTGGTCGAATAGGCCGCTTTGAGCCTTTAGCTCGTTCGTAGGTCGAATCCAGATAGGTCTCGGTTGTCATTTTGTTACAAGTGAGTAATTAATAACTGCCGTTTCTGAAAGTAGCACAAACAAAATAAAAGGGTTATAAAATATTTGAAGACTGCAATTAGGCTTTATTCAGATGCAAGAACTTAAAGCTAAGCCCATAAAGCAGGAGGCACAACAATGACTTTAAAACGCTGCGCTTGCCTTTTCATTCAACAGCACTTAACATGTTAACCCAGATTCGGCAGACTCGTATACTCGTACATACAGTAATTGAGCCAGCGATATGAATCCATTTTATCACAAGAGTCAAAAGTCAACATCAAGAATAACAAGAGAGAACGCTACAGTCGAGCAAGCCCGACAGTGAAATACCCTGTACCCAGGTAAACTTCCGTCATTGAGTTATATGTGCATTATAGCATCAGCAAAAAGAGGAAGAAGAAGAGCGAACTTGTTGCTGTAGTTTGGGGGGGTTTTACTGGCGAGAATTTGTTTCACTAATAACTTTTATTAGAATTGACCGAATTGAGTAAAATTTTAAACAACAGTAGATAATTATATATAAATTATATGTGCTAAGTTTGGTTTAGGTAGCATTTGAAATGTGGACGGGGAAGGGGGGGAAATTAAAAAAAATAAATAAATAAACTCGACCTTTCTCGGACCTTTGCCAACTTTGGTTATTCTAGCTTTTATAGTTTCTGAGATCCTTGCGTTCATCCAGACGGACAGACGGACGGACGGACATATCTAGATCGATTTCTCTCGTTATGCTGATTCAGAATATATATACTTTATGGGGTCGGAGATGCTTCCTTCTGCATGTTACATACTTTGCACAGACCTAATATACCCTTTTTATAAAAATGTATAAAAATGACGCGAGCATTTCCAAAACAGCAAACGCTACAACTTTTAGCCCCCACGAGCAGCGTCTCCATCAGAAGCACACATACACACCTAGGAGCACAAAGATACACAAAATCTGAAACTGTCGGACGTGCAAAACGCAAGATGAAAAGTCTCGTCCTATTAACTGCCTTTAACATTAAGCGGCTCAAGTGTAGGAAACAAAGCAAAAACATAAGAGGGCAGAGAGACCGCTGGGGCGGGGCAAGGGATCGGGGACGGCTGTCACGCAGGAGGCGCAAAAAGACAAGAAAAATGACAAGGAAATGCTGCAGAAATAAACACAAAAGTGCCCCAAAGAGACACTTACAATGACCTCGAAATGCGCGCTTGCAGGGTGTTTGTTATGTCTGTGAAGCCATGCTTGTCGGTGCCTGTATATGCGGCTGTATCTGTGTTATGGGTTGTGCCACTCCTTAAGTGGCAGAAAGTGACAAATAAAACTCGCTTTCATCTGCACGTGTGCCTGCATGAAGCACGTAAGAAGCCCATTTTCCATTCATGGTAAGGAAATTAGTAATGTCAGTGCGTGTGTATGTGTGTGCGTTTAGGCCATACCGCAACACCCCGAATTGATCCCAAAATATGCTATACTTAAAGTTCATATCTGTACTCACATGCTTGGTTTAACTTCTACTGTGTTCGAATATGGCAAGCAAAATAAGTATAAAATGTATTTTGAAATTAATAACAATTTTTATTGACGAATTTAGATAATAAATGATTTGTAGCATTTACTTATGATGTTACAAGTTTTAAATACAGTAATAATTTGGAAATAAATGTAGGTATGAACTGCTACAATATTCATTAAAAACATATAGAATTCCAAAATTATGCGGTGAAGTTTATTTAATATTCAAATGAATAACTGAACTAAGTAATCCACTGGCTACAGTTTCTTTAATTTCAATTCAAAACAAGGGCACCTGGCATATCTCAACGAGCTAGCAGGACAAGCATGATTACACAAATGTCAAAATCGAACAATTGTCCAAAATAGGACAGATCTTAAATAAAGATTAAAAATAATCAAAACAAGAATGGAATGCTACTTGTAGAATCGGACGCAATCCACTCTTAAATACCTCAACAAAAAAAGGTATGCTGTAGTCGAGCGGGCTCAACTCTTAAATACTATTTTTATACTCTGTACATGAAATGTACTAGGGTATATTAGGTTTGCGGGATGTGAAAAATCTAACAGACAGAAGGAGGCGTGGCAGATCCCGTAATCACTGATTTCCATAACTCCCGTAGCATCAGTTGTGACTAGTCTTGTCATATGATAAGGAATATAAATACTTTTGGGTGTCAGCCACGCCTGCTTCTGAGTTTTCATACATTTACATTAAAATAGTATACCATGTGACGCTTCAAGTTACAAAACTATTCAAAACTAGGATAATGAAGACTATTACAAAATTTCTGTTTTACCGAATATGAAAAAGTATAAAAATATTTTATACATATTCAAACCGCCTCTATTATGAGTGCTCCATTTTAATTCACACAACAATTGTTGTAGGCCGAACTGGATAATATATTTTTATACAGTATATATATACATATATATAAAAGAATTGTTGCTGTCACGCATCCATACATAAAAAGGACGGCTTTAAGATCCGGCTTTGAGCTCAACAAAGGCAGCAGCACCAGGGAAGTGGCCTTAAAACAAAGCCGACCACAGTTTTGTCCTCCCTCGTTCTGTTGTGTAGTCCCCATTTGGCATTGTGTTTGGAAAGCCTTCGTGTTACGCATACTTAATTAGAGCCCGAGGAAATAAAGCGTGGCGCCATGAAAGGGCAATGTTAACAGAGAACAAGTCACTTTAATTGACTAGTGCGGTGAAACCGACCCTGCTGTCTTATCTTTTTGGTTGCTTAAATGTTCTGAAATTTAACATAGTTGCACTAATGAATTTATGACGCCTTCAGAGCTGTGGCTGACCAGTTTTCCGTTTCCCACTCCCATTTGCCCATTTACCACACGGACCACGCGCCATGCTCCACATAAATAACCACTCGCTGAAGGTCAATTCAAACGGCAGTTTGCTTGCATCTTAATTGTCTTTCGTTAATTATTGCTATTCCTGCCTGTCTTCTACGAATAGTATTTTCTCAATTGCTGATAAGTTACTCAAAAGGAAAAGCCGAGCTCGCTGCCGGCCAATTCGCACCGCATTTTATTTGATTTGATTTTCAACTTATTTGCTGAGGCCAAGGGCATTCATTAGCCTAATTAATAGTTTGACAAAAGATGCCACAATCAACTAAACAAGTTGAAATCTGTTCAGGAAGGCATGACTAATGGAGAGGCAGTTAGATAGGCAAGATGACTAGACTCTTGATGGTCCTTCGCTTGGCCTCAATACAAATTTAGCAGAAAATTGCTTTGTAAACAAACAAACAAACAAATGAATGAATATTTGTTTCGGCATTTCCTTGATTTCTTACTCGCCTTGGCAATTTCAATTTTCTATTTTCCCTTCACTTATTGAAGTTCGATTATGGATCTGGCTGTTGCTGCTATTGCTGTTGTCATTGCGGCTGTTAACTTTCAGGTCCCTTCGTTTTGTTTATAAATAAAAGATTTTTATTGACACAAAAATGCTCCAGAAGAAGAATAAAATGCTTTAAAAACGACAGACACACACACACGCACTACACACGCTACCAGGATAGGTGGCAGCAACAGCTGCCGTTTATTTTGATTATCCGCCAACACATGCCACCCAAAATATGAAAATACAATAACAACAACAACAAAGCCCTCCCATCTCAGGTATTCATTTGATTTTTATTGACATATGAATTTTTAGTGCTGGATTCCGCCCGACCGCCCGACTGCCTACCCTCTTGCCCATATGGAGATTTACTCGTAAGTTGATTGAATTTCGTTTGTTATTACTGCCTGTGTTCAAACAGAATTCCGAGCACTGCTCTTCTACAAAGGAGCGAGGAAGTGCTCAGGCATTTCCAGTATTGAGATTGTGTCGCTGGGCCGCAAAGGCACGCGAGCCATTTTTCGATATTTTCCTAAAGCATCTTTAACTTACATAACTTTAGAAATACATATTGTACAATGGGTCCAAACTAAGCGCACAACTTGGCGCATACTCAATGCTCACCATTAACTTGCTCGTCACGTTGCTCTTGTAGAAGCGGGACGCTGCAGAGCGGACTGAAGCAGTCTCCTCCTAATTCATTCAACATGCTTGTCACTCATGCATCCATGTGTAAGTAAACGCGTATACAAATTTAAAAGTTCATTTCCAGATAACTAAATAGGAGCTCAAAAGGCAATTCCTGGGCAGCTCGCTCAACGAATTAAAGCACACTCTGTACACTATGTACCTGAAAATGTTACTAACCCCACAAAGTATGTTTATGTATATATTCTTGATCGGTAGGACAAGTAGGACATGAGTCGACTTAGCTCTGTCTATCTGTCTGTCCGGATGAACAGAGACTATAATATCTAGAGACACCAAAATGTAGCCTCCGCCCAATCTCTGCCAGCAGCTGTTGTTATTGCTGCTTTGGCTCAACTCTGCAAAGCACACATGCTTACATCATAGACACAATTCCGATGTAAATGTGCAGAAACATACCCTTTACATGAGCTCCTATATCCAAAGAGGTATAATCGCGATCAATAAAATGTGTTTATTATTACAATTTCGTAAATTTTTTTTCATTTCGCTTAATTTTTTGTTAAATATCTTAAATTATTGATACATATGTACGGAGTATTTCAAATTCAGGGCACCCGACTTAAACTTTTCCATTCAAATATAATTTAGGAATATAAAACATTAACTAAGCCATATTACATGTGTTGGGTACAAGGCACAAGTATTTTTTTGAACGAAATTCTAAAATAATGTGATTACAATTCAAAAATTTTGGGATTCTGAGATCATTCTATACTCCCTGTGGTTGCTACAATTGCGACATAGCTTTTAGTTTGTGATTCGTTCTGGCAATTGTGCTATATCTTTACGAAACGTGGTTTGTAAATTGTAACTTCAAAGTGTGAATTTCCTTCATTTCCAATTTGGCAAGAATCGTGGAATTGAAAAATAAATAAATACGAGGCCTAAGTGATTAGTTGTTTGTACCTAAAAAGATTTAAAAGGGCTGACTTGGAG